ATGTGTATAAGAGACAGCCCCCACCCCTTCCTCAGCAGTAGATTTTTTTTCTTTTGATCCAAAGAAACACTCTAAAACTATGATCAAGAAATATTTATTCATCTACTCCCTTGTTTGTACTTGTTGGGGCATAAAAGGAGTGAGTTGGATCAAGGGTGGTTCATGTGGTAAGCAGCTGTAGTACTGAAACAAATCAATCTGCCTATTAAAAGTACTTTGGAGCTTTTCCTTTCTTACTTTCTTGCAACACACAGTTGCATTATTTGATCTTCTGAATGATTTGTGATGTAGTAGAGTTTATTGCTCTGAACTTTGTACAAATACAGAAGGGTTTTTCATATATACATTGTTTTATGTTCTGTGTATGCTGATAACTGGTTTTGTGATGTTATACTTTAACTGACCCTTTGGATAAAATTATATTCCTCAAATTATCATTAAGATCACTTTTTTGTGCACTGCAGCAATGTAATTTCCACTTTCATTTGCCCTAGCTTTCTCTAAACAAAACAAAACAGAACAAAAACCTGACTTCCAGGCTTAGTCATTTCTTAGTCTTGTTTCTAACCATCTGTTGGGCCATGGGACTTCATTTCTCCTCTAGGATAAACTTCCATCTAATTCACAATAGGCTATTAGCATGTGTTTGAATGGGAATGAAGTTTTAGTGCAATAAACTTGCCTGGATATGAACTGGGAACAAAGATAAACACGTTTAAATACTGATGTCTGCTACTTGTGAAATATGTAGTCACAGAGTGGTGGAGGTTGGAAGGCACCTCTGCAGGTCATCTAGTCCAACCCCCTGCTTGAGCAAGGTCCTACTGGTCCACTAGTCCTTACATGAATCTTGAATCTTTTCTCTGAAGCTATACTAAAACCTGAAATGCCTCAGACCCCCTTGGGGCCACTGCCTTTTCATAAATCCATCTCCCAGTCATGGCTTTGTTATGTGGCAAGAGTCACTTATTCAGTTATTTCTTTTTTTTTTTTTTTTTTAATCATATAGCTAGTTTGATCAGCTTCCAAGAAGAGGAGTTGAACCCATTTATTTGTATTGGGAGACTGACAAAAGTTTTAAATTGGTGGCACTGAGGACAAGGTTTTGCTGCTGGGAGGGAATGTGTTTCCCTGTGAAATTCTTAGCTGACACAGCACCCAGATCCTTCTTCACTAAAAATCTGAATTGTGGCTTTTAGTGCAGTGATTCCAAATCATACATACATAGTCCAGCAAGAGCTGGAGTGCTTCCAGCTATGTATTTTTAAAGCATTTTGAAATATACTTGCATTCTTCAAATTCTAATTTTATTACTATTCAATATGATTTTCAGAGAATGACTCTTTATTGTCTCTCCACTCAATAAGAGCTAACATAGACACTATGTGCAAATTGTTACTGCCTGCAACAGAGTTGGTATTCTAAATGCCACTGTGTTAAAAAATGTTTTTTAATTTTGTGAATACATATGTTAATCTTATGAATACTACATTTGCATTGTTTTTATGCAACTAGCTAAGTGTTTCTTTTTCTTCCACAACTAATTCTGAAGATATTTGCCTGCACTGACAGCAGGATGATCTATATGGGGATATTCTGGGAAATGATGGGGAGTGTATACCTTTTGTTAGTAAGGTACTAGGTCCTTTTATCTCTTCAAATTACCTGTAGAATTGATCGGGGTGCCTTAAAAAAACACTTTCCAGCTTCTGGGCATGGATATTCACTGGTTATTTATTCATTTATTTATTTTGTAATAAAATAGTACTGTTTGTTCTCACATAGACTAGTGTGTATAATCCATAAATATGTTTGTAAAATATATCTGTAACATGTAACAGAATCCTTTAGAATATTCTGTGAAAATTCATATTTTTAGTTGATAGCGCTTTAAGAACATTTACATCTTTCATCTTGACATTTTTAAATAGAACATTTTTTTTGCCTACAGAAGTAAGTTTACAGCATCATCACAGTATTATAGCTTGTTTAAAAATACATACAGCATTAATGGTAATTGCAAGCAAGCTATATACTTGAGCAGGGTTTCTGTTTGTAATTTTACATGTTTTCTACTTTTTAAAACAATTACGTATATTAATATTACATCCATCACTTTGTTAGAAAATATTACTTATATATGCTACTCACAATAGATCTGTCATTTTTCTGTGACATAATATTACAGGCTATGAAAATAGAAACACACCATTGTATGGTTGGTTTAAAAATAATTACAAGCCTGTTTAAAAAAGTGCGTTAGGCTTGCTCTTTCCTTGGTAAATTAGGTTCCACTAACGTTGGATGTCCTTAATCCACTTATGGTTGGAATGCCACTAGCACCTCTCAGCACTGAACCTTATGTGAAGGGAATACTGATTTACCACTTGCTAATGAATTTAGGGCTTGGTCCTGCCTGCTCTCTGCATGGAACTGTTGCTGAAGACATGAAGAGTTCTTCAGCCATAGGCTTTCAGGACCAGGCTGCTACTGCTGAGTAGCTGTGAATCTGATTTACTCTGATGACTCCAACTGGATTGCAAAGTCTTCAGCCAGATTATTAGATCAGTGCAAGACAACACAACTCCACTCATTTTTATGAGCTGTGTTGATTTGCAGTAACCAAAATCTGACCTTTTGCCTTCCACAGGCCAGTGGATATTTGAAAGAGTGCAAGCAACAGATCTAAATTTTACTGTTTAGTAATACAATAGAGATTAAAAATACATGATTGCGTTGGTTTTACTTTGCACAAATGAGACTAAATATATAAATATATATATGTATAATAAAGCTGTAGGAAATCTCCAAACTGCTAACAACTCTTATAAATAAGATAAAACAAGGATATATTTGCTTGGAAATTTCACAGTTGCTGTTTTTTTCATTTTCAGGTAATGCAAGAGTATTTCATGGTGGATCCTTTTGTTTTGTTTGGTTTTTATGAAACATGTCCAGGCGTGCTTTGAAAACTGCTCTTTTCGTGGTCTTTCTGATACTCCTCTTGTGCTTTCTGCAGTTTTTTACCTCTCAGTTTCCACTTGTGAAAACAGTAGGTTACTAGGGATGTCATTATCAAAGAGAAAATAATAATCAGCACTATTATCAGTGCAATAGTGGATGAGAGGGACCCCTCTAGCTGCTTAGTTTCAGTGTCTCTTGTTGTGTTTAGTTTAGCAAAGTTTTCATAGTCTGTTGAGGCCAAAAGTGCAGGTACAGGAACTTCTTTGAACTTGGGCCTCATTTGGGATTCAGTAGTTGTTCCCACTCGGTCAGAATTTCTGAAGAAGCAAGAACTATGATTCCCTTGTCACCTGTGTCATTCGTAAGACAGTTTTCTCCTCAGGTTCTCCAGGCATAGATGGGGCTCAGAAGCTTTGTTTGTTTATGAAGCCAGGGAGCGTAGGAATAACAGTGTGTGTCACAGAGTTTACAGCACAGGTCATCTATATCCGAAGTTGTATAAGTCAGAAACGTGTGTGCACTGTTGTCTTCTTTATCAAGGGGCAGGGGAAAGTGCTTTAGCTGACTGCCAGTTTGTGATTCTTTGTTTTCTTGAAGATATAATCGAAGAAAATTGAATCAATTTTCCAGTAACATTGTGGTGGCAGGGCTTATCCTCAGGCTTAAAAGAAAAACAAGCACTGCAACAAGTGTATCTTATATTTTAGGAATTTTTTCAGTGACAGGTTTTTTTTTCTTCCCCCAAATATTCCCAAAAGAGAGTGTAATCAAAGGCATATTTTTTTACTGAGGGGCAGGCTTAGTTTTGCTAACATCGTAGGCATTAACAAAATCAGCTACCAAGCAGGAGCTCTCATGTTAATGAAGGGTTTTTATTTTCCCCTCTTCTTTGATATTTTCTCTCAGACTTGGCTTGTCTCGAGAGGATTTTGATTTGGGGTTTCTGTCCTCGTTATACTGGAGTTTAGGAGATGTCCTCACTGATTGCAAATCTGGAATCTGGAAAAATGACCTGGGTGAAAAATGACACAGGATTATTTAAGAGGTGATCTTGGCTAAAGGCAGTGAGCTGTAATCTAGAATTTAAAAACCTTACTCTTTCATAATTCTGATAGAATTTCAAATACAGTTAAGTCATTTGGCTTTGATACATGCTGTGTGTGACAAATCCTAAAAAATTTACTCATCTGATCAGTTCTGAAGTTAAGAGCAGGTCTGGAGAAGATGAAGAGCTGGTCTGCCCTCCCTCTTCCCTCCCCTGTTCCAAATCTCATTCTAGAGTTAAATCTGATGAGGAACAAGGCTGGTCTGCTCTTACTGATTTCTGCTTCCACTCAGGACACTAGGATTTGGCCCCAGGGTATTTTACTCTGAGGAGATGTAAGCACTTTCACAGCTATTTATTTCAAATAACAGATTGCTCTAAACCCCCTCCACCCTACTCCCAAATGCTTTGAGGCCAAAATTAGGTTTCAGAGATCTTGCAGCATAACTGTTTGGAGATGCTCTGTTTGATAGGATGCAGTTCTAAACAATCCTCTATAGAAATCTGTGGTTCATCCCACTCAGGCTAGCAAAGAACTGAGGGTCTCTTACTAATTAACAGCACGTTCTTGTTTGTAATAAAGACTGTTTACTATAGATTAGCATTCTGTTGATGTTAAAAGATGTAAATGAGCAGTTCTTGCCAGTTTGAAACAATATGTTCACTTAGTCAAAAATAAATGTTGATTTTTAAAGAAAGTTTAAAAGCCAGATTTTACTGGCTTTTAGGACAAAAAAACCCGTGTTTGTAAAACTGATTGAAAGTTCATTTCACATAAGGGAACAAGTGCAACATACCACATCTTTGATGAATATCTACATGTTGCACTACTGGCAAGTCATATATCAGGAGGTTATGACAATAGAATATTTTAGTACTACTTGGCTGTGTAGTCAACATCTTTCTCAAGTAGCCTAAAGAAAGAAACTGCAATAAAAGAATTTAAGAAACTGGGAAATGCCTTTCTGATTTATGGAGTAGCTAAGTGTCCACCACCCACATGAAAGTCCAGGAGGGTGGAATATCTCAGCACTAATGAAAATCAGATCTTGTCATACTTGCCTGAACCTGTATTTCATCTCATCTGTATCCACAGCTATCAGATTCCTATGGGGAATATAAAATATCAAAGATAAATTATTAGGCATCTGGTACTGTATGGTACTGTTCCAGGAAGGTGAGTGGATGTTATTTGTAACTCCATTTCACCATCAGTTCAGGTATGTGTATTTTCAAAACCAAAACAGGAATGCTTTTAAAATCTTAAGTCTGCAAAGTACTGTTTTTGCTTCAGCTGCATTTTGGGAGAATGCGACTGCTTTTATGGACAAATCCCTCCCCTTAAAAACAATATCTGAGGCTTCTGTTTGTGGCTCTGCTGCAGACTTTTGAGTGACTGTGGCCACTTGGTGTCTCCGGGTGATACAGCAGTACTACCACCACTTTCTAGTCTGCCTTGCTTTTAAGCTTCTTGGGGGAAAAGAATGTGTCTTAATGTTGCCTGTGGATGTATTGGTGAACTGGGTTGGTGAGCAAAGGGTGCAGGGTGATGTGGATGAGATAAACCTCAAAAATTGCAAAACATGGCTGAAGGGAGCCCACCTCAAGTGTCTGCACAGAAATAAGCATGTGACAAGAAGGAAGCTTTATGGCAGAAGCTCTTATTTTTTCCTGGCAATCAACATGACTGGATGTCGATCTGAAGTGCCTGTACACTAATGCACAGAGTGTGGAGAAGAAACAAGAGAAGAAATTAGAGGTCTTCATGAAGTTGCCAAGTGCTGATTTCACCGGAATCACAGACATGGCTCACACAACCAGAGTGCTGCCATGGAAGTTCAGGAGATCAGACCTTGGCCTTTTCAGGGACCTGCTTGAAAGACTCTCATGTAGGACAGTTAGAGAGAAGAGGGGTCCAGGAGATCTGGTTGATTTCCAAGGATCGCCTCTTCCAAACTCAGGAACAGTCTATCCCAATGTGCAGGAAATCAAGTGATTGTGGCAGGAGGTCTGCATGGATGAATGAGGAGCTCATCAAACATAAAATGGAAGCATACAGAAGGTAGAAGCAGGGACAGGTGACCCATGAGGAATAGAGTGACACTGTCTGATCATGCAGGGATGGGGTCTGGAAAGCCAGAACCCACTGGGAGATGAGTCTTGCTAAGAACATAAATGCAACAGGAAGAGCTTCTTTAGGTATATCTGCAGCAAAAGAAAGGCTAGGGCAAATGTGGACCTGAAAGTGGCAGGGGACATGAATTCCACCATGAATGTGGAAGAGGCCAAAGCAATGAATACCTTCTTTGCTTCAGTCTTTACTGATTAGATTTCCCCTCAGCAATCCCAGCCCCCTAAAATCAGTAGAAAAGTGTGGCACAGTGATGACTTCCCTTTGATATGAGAGTATTGAGCTAGGGAATGCCTAAAGAAACTAGTGAACATTCACAAACCCATGGGAGTTGTTGGAATAGACCCATGAAGTGCTGAGGAAGCTGGATGGTGTCATTGCAAGGCAATTCTCAGTAAGTTTTTAAAGATCACAGTGACCTGTGGGAGCTTTCAAAGGACTGAAAGCAAATAAATTTCATTCCTATCTTCAAGAAGGGCAAGGAGGAGTATCTGTGGAAGTACGGGCTGGTCAGCCTCACTTCAGTTCCTTGGGAAGGTAACACAGAAGATCTGCTTGGAAGCCATTCCTGAGCATAATAAGAACAAGAAGGTAATTGGGTGTAGTCAGATATTATGAGAGGGAAAATAACCTTGACCAATGTGGTAGCCTTCTATGATGAAATGATTAGCCTAGTGGATGAAGGAGAGCAGTAAATGTTGTTTATCTTGATTTTGGAGAGGCTTTTTACACTGTCACCCGGACCATTTTAGAGACAAACAGATGAAATGTGGACTGGATAAATGGACAGTGAGGTGGATTTAAAACTGGCTGAGCTGCTGGTCTCAAAGGGTTGAGATCAGCAGCACAAAGATCACTTGGAGGCAAGACAATAGGGAAGTAGGGTTTGATATGGGGATCAGTGCTGTTCAGTAGTGTCACTGATGACTTAGATGATGAGATAGAGTGCACACTCAGCAGGTTTGCAAACAATACAAAACTAGGAGGAGTGGCTGATAAACCAGATAGTTATGCTGCCAGAGAGGCCTTAACAGGCTGAAGAAGTGGACAGAGAGGAACCTCGTGAAGATCAAGGTGAAATGCAAAACCCTGCCCCTGGAGAGGAACAGCCTCATGCACAAGTACAGGCTGTGAGCCAATTGGCTGAAAAGTAGCTTTGCAGAAAAGGACCTGAGGGTCCTGGTGCACACCAAGCTGAACATGAGCCAGCAGTCTGCTCTTGTAAAGTCCAGTTGCGTCCTCACCTGCATTACAGTGCTGTCAGCAAGTTGAGGGAATCACTTGATTATTCACCTCTACTCAGCACTGGTGAGACCACAGTAGTAGCAGAGGTAAATGTCTTGGCATCAGCTTGTATTGCAGTGTCCTACTGAGATGTCAGTTTTGAGAGAGTTGGACCTCTAGTACTCTGCTTCAATTTTGAGAAGACTGTTCATGTTATCTGTAATCATTGTATTAAGTACATGTACACACACAGTACACACATTTTAAGTTGAGTCAGTTCCATCTACTGAACTTTCAATGTCACCACATTCTCATGAGGAAACTTTCTATTAAAAAAACCCCAAAACATTCTTCATTGTCCATGCTCTAATTTAATTCAAACAGTAGAGAATAAATTATTCTTACACTGTTTTGTTGTTTTGTGGGAGTCATAAGTCTTCAGTGTATTTTATCTGAGCATTATGAGCATACAAACCTGTATCTCAGGACTACATATTTAATTTCCATTAACATTTAATAAAATAGAAAGGTTCAGGTATTTACAAAAATAATCTGAGTCATTTTTTGGTCTGGAAATACTCATTTGTTGGAAGAAACTTTTCATGAAAACCTGTAATATATGTAAGCTGAATACATTTCTAAACCTTTTAATGAAATAGTAATCTTTTACTTTGATACTTACGTGAGCATAGACTATTGATGTAGTACATGTCCTTGCCTAGAGATGGACTTTGTTACTGTGACCTGTGTTTTCATACCTTTCTGTTTTAGCAAGCTAATGTTTCAAGTAAAGTACAGCTCAGAATGGGAGGGACAAAACCAGCTCCTTGTTTTGCAGTATCCTTAGGTTGCCCAGAGAAGCTGTGGCTGCCCCCTCCCTGGCAGTGTCCAAGGCCAGGTTGGATAGAGCTTTGATCAACCTGGTCTAGTGGAAGGTGTCCCTGCCCATGACAGGGGGCTTGGAACTAGGGGATCTTTAAGGTCCTGTCCAACCCAAACTATTCTATGATTCTATGGCAGGCATTATCTTTCCTTTTGTTCTTCAAGCTTGACCTCTGTGCCTCTAAGTAAAGTACTCCAACAAAGTAGAGACAAATATATTTCTGAGGTTTTGTGTAGTTTTTGAGGGTGAAAAGTAAGAGCAGGTTGGATGCAATTTATATGAGAGGAACAAAGGAAATGACAGTAACAAAAATCAGTGTCTCAGATATTAATTGAGGTTGCTGGCATCAGTCAAATACAGAATTACTGAAAAGAGATAAGAATGTTGATCAACAGCTTTTTGATTTCACTGAGACTCCTTCCTTATCATAAGGGCAAAACTTGCCTCTGTTTGCTGGTGACTTAGTAATAATGATGTTATCGGTGTTACATTAAAAAGAGTGATGATGTGTATTGAATCCTTAAAAAAAAAAAGTCAAAATGCTGGATGGAAAACCAGACTTGTGTGAAGTTTTAACTGGCTATAGTTTGCGGTTTTTTTATTGTTAGGGTAACTCTGTTTTCTAATTCTATGTTTCAGTTAAAGGAAGGACTGAGTTTGGCGAATGTCTGAAATCTTCAGCTTCATTGGAAGGATGAAGGCCAGAAATTATACGTGAGCTACTACAGTTCTGTTGTTTTAATAGGAAGCTAATTGTACATACTTGACCCTTAGGGTAACTCAAACTTCCTTTGACTTCCTGATCATATTGATTGAGTAGGAATGTTGATAGGGACATATAAACCAACAGCAAGTAAGAGAAATGTGTAATACTGTTCTCAAATGAACAATGAACATGAAAACATCTTTCCAAAGCAAACTGACCTGAAACTATAAACCTGCCCCTTGTGAAGTGATATAAAAAATGTTTGATTTCAACAGTAGGAGAATCTCTGGTTTCTGTCTTTGTGTGTGTCTTTCATGTACTCAGCCATACATATGCTGTGCATTTCCAAATGTTGAATTACTCCTAGCATTTATATAATCTTAAATATATATTGGCTTTTCAATATAGTTTCAAGCTTGCTTGCTTGCTTTCTGTCTTCAGCTTGCTTATAAATTTCCCTGCTGCCTTTCAAATTCTCTCTTCTATTTTTATTGCATTACAGAAGAATGTGCCTTCTCTAAATCTAGGTCTTTTTGATATAAAAACATTTGTATGAAATGTATCCATCATGCTGTAAACCTAATATGTAAATGATTCTTTTCTCCTCCTCCAGAGCAAGTGTAGCAAGACATCTACTAATGCACTTGTGCACAAAATTGCAGATGAAAGCCAGGGAGGGAGTGAGAGCAAATGAAAGCGGGGACAAGGAGGAGGGAGAGAAAGGAGGAAGGAATAGGAGGAGGAGAGAAGGCAGGAAAGGCTTCAAAAAGCATGGAGTGAGATTTCTTAGCCTCTCTACTTATTTTTTACTGCATCTTCTATAAATTCGTGTTTAAGAACAAAGGGCGAGCTTTTAAGAGTATTTCAAATAATGTACATAAGACCACCTTTGCCATTTTCAAAATCCATGTGCATACTAATACACATCTGTCTCTATCTTTGGATGCTTAAAATACTTTTGGAAATCTTAAGGTTTCAAGTCTACAAAGTGCTGATCAGCTTTCAGCTGAAAGGCAGCTAGGCTTCATACTTCCTGGAAGGTTCTGTGTACTTTGGGGCTGTGGGCTTAAATAATAAATGTCAGGTTGTTACAGAATGACACTTTATGTATGTGTGCAGTGTCACTGGGTTTGTAGGTGTTAAACACCTTAGATTTATCTGAGAAGTCCTAAAATCAAACAACTTCTTTATGCTTTTGTGTTCTGTATTGTTAATCTCAAAACAAAATAGAAAAAATTATCTGTATTAGACTTATGTATAGTCATCCTTAGAAACTTAATTTGCATAAACCCCTTGCAATTACTTCCAGTGATATAACTGATAACTTAAAGATTTAAGCAAGCCAATCTCTTAGTTAAGTATATAAAATTCTAGCCCTAGTCTCTTAGAATGCTTTACGCTATTTTTATTCCAATGAGCAAGAAAACTCTGCTTTTAGCAGTTGTTCAGCCTGTTCTGTCTTCATTATACCTGAGGTTTTCTCCTCCCTTATGTTAGAAGGGGAAAAGATGGCAAGTTTTGGAAGCACTTGTAACTCATTCTGGCATTGGACAGATCCATAAACCAACAGAAAGTTCAATCTTGTTCCTATGAAAGTAACAATATTTAGTGGGATCCTGATTCTCCTTAAAGCTGCAGTTGGCTTGGATAACTTTCAGGGACAGTCTGTATGACAAAGACAAGTCATTTTAGAGAAGAACCTGATACCATCTTACCTCTGCATTGAGAGATGCTGAACAAAACAGTTTTCGCTGATTCAGGTGGAAGTTGTAGGCTGTGCAACTCCTCAGGACATCTGCTTTTAAGTTCCAGAAGAACTCATGTGGGCAGGTGTATGTGCTTAGTGTGGACCATAAATCTCACATAACTCTTTTCCTGGTCATTTAGTTTATAGAGAACTCATATGGAACTAGCTCTGTTTTTTAAGGTTTTAATTTTAATTAAGTAATCCCTGAAGTGTAGAGCAATTGAAGCAACAGACCCATTGTGTTGTAGATTTAGACTCTCTGAAATTGATATTCATCCCACTGATTCTATTGGTGACTTCTCATGATATTATAACATGTTAATTTAGTGTAACTGTGATTTGATAAGCACCAGCAGCTTTTTAGGTGTGATTACAGCCTTCTTGTACCTGAATGTTTTGTCTGTACTAAGTCCAAATCCTATGGAAGTTGCTGGAGCCTGTTACCAGGTACAAACTACATGTAAGTTGTCTTATAGACTGAACGCTTGACAAATTCCCTCCTTAAACCAGTGTGTTACTAAAATGTACCAGTGATATGTACTTTAGCCTTCTTGTCTGTGTAGTGGTGTGAGGAAAGTTTATCATCCTGATCTATGAAATCCTTGTATGACATCTTTAGTGTAGCTTTGAAACTCTATATTAAATGCTCCCCATAGGTGTGCAGACTGAGGTTTAAGCATGCTGTAATAAAACCTGTTAGGAAAAGACACTGGGTCTTATTCCTTTCACATGCTCATATTTGGGGAAGGGTTTGGATTTTTTTCCCTTTTCTTTTAAACTTGCAAAACAGTGCTGTATGGAAGTGCTGTTCTCTGAACAGTTGAACAGATCTGTCCCTTCATGAAGTTCACTTCAAAATAGGCTTCTCTGCATTTTAAAAACTATGTTGAGATTGTTTTCCTCAAAACAGCACACACCACCTCATTCAGAGAGCAGATTTGCCTATAAGTCATTCTTTGTTTTTCCTACTAAAGAAGCGGTCTTATATCATCATCTAAAAAATGTACCCCTTGAAATGTGGATTATTATTTCCCTTTGAAATTGTCTTTCATGGTTAACTTTTTGCTAATTTAGTTCATTTCTTCTGCACAACATTCTATGCTGTTCTTCCCACACACCTTTCAAAATCAGGGGCAATTACATCCTGTGATTACAGAGGCAGCCTGTGAATTTTTCCATTAGTCTATATTTTCAATGCTATTCTGTGAAAATGCAACTCCTGGAGTGCAAACAATTCCCTAGCTTACACTGATGCTTAAACTTGCTCAGCGATATTTTCCACTTCTCTTTTTCTAGGATCAGTTTATCCTAATGCTCTGCATTACATGTTTTTTGGAGTCAGAACAAGTACTTACCAGTCCAGGTACAAGTGAATGTTTAATTGTTGTCTTCAGTTATAGGATAAACGAAAACTGAAAGCTGTTTAGAGCTGAATTCAAATGAACAAACCCAAAACCTAAGAACCTTATTCATAAAATAAGATCTTGAGACAATCAGAGGCCTTTTCATTAAATTCAGTTTCTTTGCAGGTGAAGGGGGGTTCTGAGTCTGGGATAATTGATTGTGAAAGGGAGATCGACAAATGAGATCTGCTTTTGTATCCTACTCCCTTTTTAAATCTCTCCTCTCCTTTTTTCTCCTTCCCTACTGCTAGCAAGGAAAGTAATTACAGATGGGATGCTTTGCAGCCTTTCTCTTGGATCTAAAATCTGCCAAGATTGAAACTCCTACAGGGATAACATTTTTTTTTTAAATGTGGCAAAGACTAAAAGATTGTTTGAACATTCAAGTATTCATCCAACTAATTTAAAACTCTTCTCCTTCCAGCCAGTGTGCCTGTTCTTGATGAATAGTTAGTCTAGGACTACAATATATTCAATACTCAGGGAATTTCACCTTTAAAATTGTGCAAGAAAAATAATAAGTTAAAGGGTGGGAGGTAGCAGGGCTGAGAGGAGGAGTGATGAATGTCATTTTAGATGGCAGCTACTTTGCGTCTATACATTTCTGGAAAAAGATCACATTTATTTTGCCACAGCATGGACTGGGGACTGTGTCTGTGTAATTTGAGAGTTCTAGGTAAGGAGAAAGCACTCTTCCTTCTTTCCCACTGCCCTTTTCCCAGTCTTAAAGCTCAGGTCGCTTGTCTCTGTGGTGGGTAGAACTGGTGTGCAGTAAGCTGGTCCCAGCGCTGAGGCTAAAGGATTAGGGGGGAGAAGGGAATAAAGACTTTAAGCATTTAGTGCTTACTGGTCAGCATTGACTTTCCTTTTAGCTCAAAATCACATTCCAAAGAGGAAAAGTTATGTGAAATGCATTTGAGATCAGTGAATTACATGGCAGGTGCCTGTGTGCTGCTTTAGCTGTGGGTGGAAGGGGATGAGGGGAGCACGTCACCTATCCCCCTTTGTGGGTCAGGGGGCTCAGCCTTCATGCATAGGTGGCAAAGATACTGAGCAGGTATGGGGGGGGGGGGGGG